ACTGTAATCAGTGCATGCTCCTTACACACTGTAATCAGGGCACGCTCCTTACACACTGTAATCAGGGCACGCTCCTTACACACTGTAATCAGGGCACGCTCCTTACACACCGTAATCAGGGCATGCTCCTTACCCCTCTCTCTCTTAGCTAAAATGTTCAGTAACATGAATTAATGTAACAAGATATATGAACTTTAAGAACATATCTGAAGAAATACTAAAACCAGTAGTTATATCGAAATTCATCCACAGTCCTAACAATCCGTCTGCCTGCCTGCCGATCTATCTATCTATCCATCCACCCTGCTTCCTAACAGGCCCTCCAAGGCAGGGAAACAGCCTTTTTTACTTATACACTATATAAAATATATTACTTCTGCCTTCTGATATACGGATGTTTATCAGACAAGTTTATTGTGCAGTGTATTGGCGATCTATAAAGCAGCACAAATGGTTCTTTCATTTACGATCTGTGACGTGTTAATGTTCGTTACGCAGAACCTTTAGTCACACGCACTCCGAATAGCACAATGGCTTTCTGTGCTGCTTAGCGAATGGAGGGACACTTTTCAATCTTAATTGAGGCGTAGAATTCATCCAGCTGTAAAGAATTAAACTTTTCTTTCAATGTTGCGTCACACTACAGATCGATCAGCTCCAGTTGCGCTGCTGTCGCGTAGTCGAAAGTAAAAGGACAAGATATCCGTGACAGAGGCAGGGAAGTTTCCAGCCTTAGAAAAGATCAGCGGCTAACTCAAATTTACCTGGGGCATCGGGGCTAAAATACTCGGGGCTCTAACCCGACGTGAACGTACCTAACGACGCCCATGGTTAGAGGTCTTTCAGTTTGATCAAAAAAGGCCAATCGACGGGAAACTTCTCCACGCTAGCCTAGGAGAGATTTGTGGTACCGTTGTACCTTAGTATGCGACACATTTAGTATTCAGGGACGGGAAACGGGGGGAGGCGTGGACTTCCCAGTATTTAATTTGACTTCACCCCCTGTAAACAGACCTTTGCATTTACATTATTAAGTTGTGTCTCCCAGTCAATGAGTGGCTGATCATCTGTTTTCGAATGCATTGTGTGCCACCTAGCGGCCTGAATCACAAAGCGCAATATCTCATATCGCCAAACACAATAAACAAAAACAATAAACGAATAGGCCTATATATTCGTTCAGAATTGCAGTAGCAACTATTCACTTACCTAGCCACTTCGGAAACTTACTTTCACTCTTGGTTTGTTCTGACTAACCCCTCTTTTTAAAAGATATAATTTAACTAATTGGTAGAATTAGAAGTGGCCTTATATAAAAGAAATTCACCAAATTATCAGGAAAGATGAATTCATTATTCATATACGCTCCTCGCTTTACAAAGTTAGATTTACGATTAGGGTGACCAGATAATCTATGCCAGGGAGGACACACAACTAGGACATGGAAGATACTTTATTGATGCTGGACGATGGCTGCATCCACATGCAGACACGCTTCCAGTCTCTGTAGTGCTGAACAGAACAACATATTGTACGGTTACTTTTTTGTCTATCGATTTTTTCGGCTTAGGATGGGTTTGTCGGAATGTAAACCCGTCGAAAGTTGAGGAGCAACTGCGTAGAAAACGCGAGCTCATTATAAAGGTTTTATCGATCTTTGCGACCCTACCTTGTTAGACCCATTTGAAGGCATTCCCTGTGAGTGAAATGTTACATTGATTGTTACATTTTGCCGCATTTAGAGTTGTTAAATACTACAATGTACTAACCTTTTACTTATCAGTGAATATATTTGTATTTTCAGTTTCACACCATTCACATGATAAACACTCTAAACCTCATTACCTCTGTGTCCGGGAGCCATTATGTGGAGGTTATGGTGAAAAAATTTTACTTTGCAAAAAAGTTGATAAGGGTTAGGGTTAGAGGCGTCAAAACGCAGATACACACACACAAAGTATTCTGACTATAGAAGGCAAATGTCAGCATGAGACATAACGATATCCCAGACTTTTCAGATATTTTTACGTCACAAAGAAGAGGATAAGTCTGAGAAAAAGAGGACGTATGCTCACCCTAACGGAGGGGTTTAACTTGCTGGATAACTAAATGTGGGATTCTGGAGGCCAGTATAGAGATTCATTTTCTCCAAGTAATGTTAAAGCCAACAAGCTGATGTCACTTGTTCACTTTACTGCAACTAGATAGTAAACGCTAGCAGCAATGAGGTTTGATAACCGATTATAACTAATCTGATATGATATAAAATAGGTGCTACATGTAATAACTGGCTAGGAGTACATT